GATATCTCGGCATGTGGTAATCTGATGGCTTGCATGACTGCATATATTACAAATTAAGTACGGGTCAGAAAAGTGTATCAGACACTCCGATAGCAGGACGTACGGATATGTCCGAAAAAAACTTAAATATAGTTGGCACTTGGCAACCTTGCTCGACTCCCGAGGTTCTGTTACTCGCAGCTTCCGGCCAGCTCACGGTAACCGCGCACGGCCAGCGCCGGCGACCTGAAGTAAAAAATGCCCCTCATTTTCGATATTGCAGGCTAAAGCAGCTAAAATATACATTTTCTGAAAGGCAATTGATTGGTAAACACCATATTGATAAAAGAAGAGCAGGACCTATACGGGACTTTTTATATCGACATTCCAGAATATTTATGACAGTAAAATTAACTCACAATTTTAAAAGCACCTAAAAACTTAAATTTTGAGGCGTATTTATATATTTCGCTATAAGTTTTTCTTTCCATCGTAAAGCCAATGGTCCAAACCGTATCAGTTTAGACCCCGAAAATATTGATAAAGCCGCCTAATATATATTTTTTCTTGCCATACATCAGTTGCTACTTTTCTCCGTACGAAAACGGGTCTACGATGCTTGTTACAGAACTTTGTGTTTGGGCTGATAAGGCGCAGACGCTGTACACCATGGAGGAAAACCATTTGCAGATTCGTGGTCCATAGACATTTCTGAACTATGTGACACAGTTTAACTCTATTTTGGAAAGGTCGGCAAATCCACCAATGTCGCGCTAATTCCGGCCGCGATCCCATCGTGCAGTGGCCAGTAATTACCGAGTTATTGTGATGGAAACGAGTTTTACACTTCTTAGTTCTTTTTGCATTTTGCACGTGCAATGGGGGTGACCCACATGCATGGAGAGTATATATCCGATGTTTGGTATAAGGGATGTAACACTACCCTACAAAAATTACCGCATGTGTCACTTGCCCAAGCGGTTGCTGAGATATACCTAGAGGATTATTCGTGGCTCCGAGTGGAAGATAAGGATATCTTTTCCAAGCGGGTTACTGAAAAACCGAGCGACGAAGGAGCGAGGTTTTTCTGGAACACGCGAGGAAAAGATATCCGATCTTCCACGAGTGAGCCATGAGGAATCCTATATCTTTCTACGTTGAGGTTTATTCTTAATTAATTAAACATTATATTCAAATGTTCTCATCTATGGAAAATAGATTTAGAGTACTTTGTTTTAATATTTCGTAAGTTTCTACACAAACAGCCATCAAAAATGGTTCGATTATTGACCCATCATCACTTGAACTCTTGATTTTTAGCTATGAACCCCCGAGACCTTATCTTTGCATTTCAGAGGAGTGCGAGATAGAAATATCCCTGCACTGTAGACCCAATGGCAAATAAACCTCAACTAGAAAGATAGAAATATCCCTGCACTGCACTCTCAAAGGCGTTACATATACATGTCGGGCAGGGGCGGGTCGCGCCGCTCATAGATTTTTCCGTTACAAAGGAAAAATCTCACGGAAAGGAAAGAAAGCAAAATCCGTTTTCACGTACAATATATTTTTTCGTTGTATATTGAAAAAGACTCGTTTCGCGCTTCGCTCTCGCTCGTAAAATGAAAAACATTCTGATTCAATTCAGGAATCCGTCAACTATAATAAAATATGCTGATCATTATGAAGCCTTTTTGCATGATCCTAATCGAGTACATACCTGCCTCCCTACCCTTGTACTTTCTTTCAATAATCCACAGAGGCTATAAATTATTCCGCGTTTCACGTTCTCTGAAATGCCCGGTGAGCAGGCTCTGCCAACGCCCAACGCTGGAAGCCGCACTCAGCACTCCCCTCCTCGCATTCGGCGAAGCGGTTGTCGACCTGTTAATGACGGTGAATCATCCCGTAAAGTGCCAGTCACTAAACCGAAGGCGATGACTTCTCAATGGTACAGCAGGGAGCACAGCTGGCAGCCGCCAGCTGGCAGTCCGGTTAGGGTGACGTCACACTTACTGAGCCCGCGCTGTGTTAAAGGTAGTGTGCCAGCTTTCCTGGACCGTATGGAGTTAATGGCCCAATAAGGAGAACCGGATTTTTAGAACTTATCCATACCTTCAAAACTCATGGAATCGTCTTAAATTCTTCAAATTTTGAGTACCCCAGTGCAAAATTCGCCCCGACGGGTTGTCGGTCGTACCCCAACCACATTTCACACCACTATGAACAATAAATGCACACACTGAAATCGCTATTACCGATAGGCTCATCCAATCAAGTTTCGATAAACCCGTTCATCATCATCTCCTGCGGTTTCGAACACGCCTGTTAGGTGGTGCGGTAGACCGCGCCCAAAGCCAGGGCCCCGGTCAGCCCCGGTAACGTGAGGTAGCCGAGTCGGGCAGCGTGCGCTGGCCGCTGACCCAAGCCGGACGCGCGTCCTCCCGGTGTCATGTGATAGCCCGGGGATGCGGTAGACCGCGCCCAAAGCCGCGGCCCCGGCTTGGGTCAGCGCACGCTGCCCCGACTCGGCTACCTCACGTTACCGGGGCCCTGGCTTTGGGCGCGGCTTCTGCTCATACTTTGTGGTGCGGTGGTGGTACGTCGGGCCGCGCGCTCTGACTTCGGCCAAGAAAAATGCGTCAGCTGATCATTGTCATTTCTGCCACTTTCATGTAGTGAGATGGGGTCATAACTTTAGAGACGGCTGTTTCATATCAATTATTTTACATAGAATAATATTTCAAACCATAAATTAATGTTCGACAGCCAAATTAAAGAAACAATACCAATACAGGCTTACAGTTTAAATTCGACATTGTGTTGTCTACGATTAGACAGCTGATAACTCATTCCCGTACGTCGTAACTCTATAATGACCTTTGCTTATTGTCACATGTGCGCCGCATTCGCGATTGTTGCTGACGCCTGTTTGCAGGTCAGCCCACTACAGTTGTTATACATATCGAAAAACCGATAAACTTTTAGGCGAAAAAAGCACTATTTTAGGCCCATTTTTTATTTTTTTGCGATATTAGGTAAAAACAGAAGCTTCTTATCCTAGGAAAAATAAAATAGGAAATCATTGGAAGGTGGCACACTACCTTTAAATTAATTGGTTTTATCTATTGTCGGGATTCGTCTTTCTTGTATGTACATTATTAATTCCTAGCAGTTTTTCCCTGAAAACATTCACTATATAATGTGAAAGCACAGATAACAGTATGTAGTACTACTGTTATCTGTGGTGAAAGTTAGGGTAACTGTGGGGAAAACGCACCCCTGGGTTAAACGCCTCCCCTAAAAAAATCGTATTTCTTATCGACGGATAGGTGTTTTATACTGTCTTTCAGAACAGTCAGCTGCTTGTTTACGTAGGTCTCTATTTCCGGTTCTGCGTCTTGAGGAGCAGCGTGGGTAGGTGCTGATGTTGGTTTTGGGTGTTGTTTTTGTTGTTTTTACAGAAGATTCCTAATATTTTGATGCCTTCTTTATATCACAAAACTTGCTATTGTGCACATCACTAAAAACTGCCTTTATTGTCATTCTGTTGAATTTATTATGCTGCGGCGTTAGTGGCGCGTTTTTTGTCAATATTTTGTTGACCGGAAATGGAGCGGATGGGGAAAGACGCCTACTCGATGCATGGGGCAAGACGCCCCCAGTTTTCTGAAAGGGGGGCGTTTTGCACGGTGGTGAGAGTGCAGGGTAGCGCCTTGTAGGTGGGTGCCGAAAAGGCCTCTCCGTGTCCTTTTTTGCTGATATATCCTAAACGACTGCAGGTATCGTCACCAAACTTTCAGGACTCCTCCGGGCATCCATTTTACACATTGCAACAAAATTTTATTCCAAAGGCTATGATAGGTTGACCACAAATGACGTCAGAATGACGTCAAGTTCTGCCATGTTCATCATGTTCTGTTGCTGGATGGGGTGGGGGCGCTTTGCACATGGGTGTGGGCGTATTACCCAGGGTGTGGGGCAAAACGCCCTTTTGTAAGGGTATGCGAAAACCTTTTTGGAGAGTTAAATACCACACGCAGGTGTCTTTTCTTGGTCTCAAAGCGTAGTAAAAAGAATGAGCTACATGATGGTGCCCAAAGGTTTGAGTAATCTGTGTTGGGTTGAGTGTCAGAAGGTTTCGCGCTTAATGGGGGCGTTTTTGACCTATTCACCCTATGACTGACTCTTAATAATTGCTTCTCATGAGAACGTCGTCTAGCACAGTTTACGTAATGTCTTTATGCAGCGAATAAACACTGCGTCAGTCACTGCGGGGCCTGGTAAATATTTGTTAAGGACTGAGTGCAGGCTCTAATGCGTCTTTTTCTCTTTTTTTTATTTTTGGCTGGCGAAGCGTGCTGCCGTCTGGTCAACCATATGCTATATCTCGAGCACAGTCTATACTCTATACCACACAGACCTTTTAGCCGTCTACTGCGCCCTCCATTTACATACATGGCGTATGTAACTGTGTGTGTAGGTACGGTTTGTCTCGTCACCGATCTGTCCTGATCCCGCTCCTCGCTTTTCTGCTCTCGCTGCGCACCTCCGCTCCTCTGCTCCGGTCAGTGATGACCTCCCTCACCTCCCAGTGATGCCCTTGGTGCCACCCAGAGCTGTGTAAACTGCAGCGGGCTCTCGGTATACGGTCACCTTGGACCGTGACTCGTGAGCGGCGGGCTGCGCCGTGTCCTGACTCAGCACAACTGGGCCCGCCGCCCAGTAACTGGTGACTCATCTCCGCGGTACCGCGGTCTGTGTTTACCCGCTACATAAGAGCTGTGTGCTGGGCCAGCGGACGGAGCCTTTGTGTTGTTCCGAATGCATCCTCAACCCCCTAGGACACTCCCAGGACAACTCTCCAAAAGACGCTCTTGCTTTTTGTTTATGGGTTTCGGACTATATAAAAGATTATGCTCATTTCAGGCAATCGGAAAAAAAAAACTAGCCGTTTAGTGTTGCAAAACTCCAATTGCAGCTGTATTCCTTGCTTCGGTAGCGTGAATTGAAATAAGGTGTAACAACAAAATTTTATTATAAATGCCTATTGATATTTGACATGTCCTATAACATATAGCATCATAAGCAATGAGCATTGGGCAATAGCCATGCACAATAAAGAAAAAAAACAGAAGTAAGAACCGCTTAGGTACATTGGCGTTTTGTATTACATGCTACGACCCATACCGATAGAGACTCGATATAAACGAAAACATACGCGGTAAGAAAGTCGCCTCGGTGAGTTGTCAGCACCCGTAGGATTCAAAGCCAACGTTTCCTCTTATGCGCTGTCAGCGAAGCCCAGTCTGTTATTTTCCCTGTCAAAGGCGATATAGTATTTCTGCATGAAGAGTGTGCCTAGCAGCATGGTGTGATCGTCCACGCCTGGGAAGCCCAGGAAGCCAGAGACGCACATCTGGAGACCGCCCTCGAAGCGCAGCAGGAACGTGTACTCGAGCGGTCCGAGCACCATGGCGCGGCCGCCCACAGTGATGGTCAGGTTCGGCAGTCTGTAGAGGGTGGTACAGTCCAGCACGGCCGCGCCCGGCTGGCCAATGTCCAGGCCGCCCAGCGCCTCGTTGATGGCAGCCGCCTGGGCCTCGGATACGATGAAGTAGGGACTGTTGGAAGCCGGCAGGACGACGCAGCGGCCGCCGGGACACAGGTCCAGCTGGGTGAGGCCGTCCAGGACGATGGAGTCGGCCGGCGCGGTCCACCACTGGCCGTCCGGCGGCGTCAGGTTGGCCCAGGTCAGCTCGCCCCGGTACAGCTGGTCGTTCAGTCCGCCCAGGGTGAGCTCGCCGCCCTGCGGGTCCCTGCCCAGCCACATCCCGAACACCCGCTCCGAGATGACGCCCTGCTCGGCCATCACGTCCAGGATGGGACGCACGCCCTCCGGAGCCATGCCCTGCAGCCCCAGACCGAGCACGCCGTCTGGCGGCAGGATCGACAGCCACTTGTTCCACATGCTCTCCGCCTCGCCGAACACGACGCCTTCGACGGTGATGCCCGCAAAGCTGATGGAGTCCTTGGAGAGCACTCCACTGGCGTTTATGCCGGGCGGCAGCTCGAATGGAGTTCCCAACGCCTATGAAGACGGGATGAGAAGGGACGTGAATTATCTTGGACGAAAGGAAACCGATATAAAACGACATGCATGTCATTTTTTTCAAAATAAATGGAACCTATATCGAGGATGATTATATTGCGAATACTTGTATCAAAATGAACCAAAATACAATTATTTCATTAAGCGTTTGATTCGTAGGTAACAGGTAGGCTTGACTTTATTCACGATCGATGGCAACACAAGTGAAATTCCTTGTGTTGCCATCGATCGTGAATAAAACTCAATCATGTCTGATTATTTATAACAGGTAGGCATTTGACCGTTTATACCAGCATTCAGCATTGTAACCAAAATATGAGCTGATTTCGAATATCAGGCACCAGGCCTTAGGTACCTAAGTTTGGTATTCCAATAGAATTAATATTCAATTGAAACCTCCCTTTATCACACTGTCCACTTGCCTCGTAAGTGGACGAAGCGGACGAGTTGTACTGGCGGCGCGACTTGCAAAATTGATCCTCGCATCTCACAGATGGGAAGTAGGAGAGGGCGCTGCTCGTCTCCACCGAAACCGACATCAGCTGGGGAGGCGTCCCTAGCGAGATCTCCCCCACAAATGTCTGCACTCCCTGTCGAAGGAAAAGTGGCATCGGCCCAATTAAGGGAGTTCATTGTCCTGTTTACGTGACGAAATCAGCGGCGCCGTTTGTGAAGGCGATACCAAGGACATGCATTTTCTCGTATTGCGAATAAAAGACCTTTGATAGGATTTATTACGCAAGTAATGCAATGTAACGTAAGCCTATATATCATAAATAGATATGCTGAATACCAACCTTCGCCTTGATGTTTTTCAGCAGCTGCACATGGAACGAAGGAGCGTCCTCCTTCGGAGTCAAATTCGGATTCTGCTCAGGAGCATCCTTTGTTTTTAGGGTGATATGCATCTTCTGGGCCTGGATAGCTCCCAGACAGGCAACAAGCAGCAACAGCCGGAACATCTTCCCGCGTTTGCTGTAAATGAATTTAAAGGACACATTCGTAAGATGTTTTTGGTTGAGTCAATTCGATCGCGATATGTACCTATTACAGTCGAGCAGAGTGTGCACGATGTTTAAAAGGACGTCTGTCGTCTATATGCTTAGAACCACAGATAACAGTAGTACTGGATTGGAAACAGGATTCCGGTGGCTGCAGTAAGAGGCCGAAAACAGAACCGAATATTTCGTGCCCAGACTTCGATATCTTCTCCCACAGGCAAAAAAAAATTGGTTCATGTGAATTAAACTTATAAAGAAGCAATCTAGCCGTGCTCGTGTTTATTGCTGAATTTTTGCATAATGGCAACTTATTTTACTAAACGTACCTAATGCTGGTTACACTTTCCTCACCGTGGTGAGGGAACGTATGCCACTGATTTGATTATAATGATTTCCCACTCTCATCCACAAAAAGTACTTGTACATGGGAATTTGATCTCTTTATTTACATGCTAATCGACACCAGTCCTGTCACAACGAACCATCCAAACGTCACAATTCAAACCAACGTCACAAAACACCCCTTCAAGTGTCACTTCGCTTCGCCTGCCCTCCCAATTTCATCAGCGACCTTTCTTCCCCGCCTTACATCTTCTTGACCCTGCTGAGCTTTGGCCTCTTGTCGCTCCTCGATCGGGGTGCAACCCGATTGCCGCTGGGGTGTCTGCTTCCTGACTTTCGATGGACAGCACTGTCTTGAGTGTCTGCCTCACTTATCAGTTACCATGTTTCCACACTTTCCAGCAAATAGATTGAAAACCGTCGCATACATCTCTGGAAGGAGGCTCCTAAGGACGTCGTGGCTATCATTGCAAACGACTTCCGGTCGGTTCGACATCCCGGTTTACGACTATCTTCGTCACTTCGTGGTTGATCGCAGGCCAGCAGCTGGTTCCTGTTAGCTTCCGTCTTCGGCAGTTGCCTCCAAATATGGCAGATCCTCACGGCGAGGTCGATGTCTTCCTCGTTTTCTCCAGTCGTACCTCCAGCGGCGTAGCCCCAAGATAGATCAGCAGGCTGGCGGAGGCACCGTACTTGTTACGCCTGGTGGCCGAGCGTGCCGAGGCGCCAGAGCTGTGTCAGGGAGGCCTTGGCGCTGTCATCCAGGTCCTCCATTTCAGTGGATTTCGCCACCGCGGCCACTGGCTCCTGGATGACAAGAGCACCATCCTGCTGTCACTCCTGTGATGCTGATGGTGCCATTCGGGCGGAGGCGTCGGCGGGGCTGAAACGTGACCAGTGACCACCATCTGAGGCCCTTAGTTCGACTTCGGAGTACCGCCTCATTCTCCAGGAACTGTCGGACACTCGACCAGTTGTAGTTGCCACCTGATAGCTGACATTGTCATTCGTGAAGAACGCATCGGTCTGGTCCTTCATAACCTGCTTCTGGTGTGAGTGGCGTGCGGATGCCATGGCTAGTTTCGCTGGCCGCTCGTGCACAGGGGGCATCGCGTAATCCACGCTGGTCAATACAGGACTGCGCCGCTCTTGAGCCGACGGCGCTGTCTCTGCATGCCGGTACGAAATGACCGATCATCTTCGAAATCTTCCTTTCTGAAATGCAGCTCACACATGCAGCGGAATAGTCCTGATTTCACTCAGCCCGGTCACGGTGACCCATGGCGTCAACCCACTGAGCCCGTAGAGATGTTTCGGTGAGAAAAGCGAATAGGTGGCATGTGAGACATCTCCTGTTTTAATCTTTTGTTCCTCTTGGTTCGTTGGGTGTAGCCAGAACGGCAGTTTTTTTACCGCTCATTCCCCTCCTCCATTGTTGATGTACCTATACGTATGTAAGGCTTTGCACCACACTTTGTTTTCAAAAGAAAATACCACGCATTGTGCCCTCTTAATAATCAATAAAAGTGAAATACTTTAATTTTTTAAGCAAATGAAAGTAACATTGGTAGCTTCGATTTTAAATGTAAACAACAAAACACAAAAATTACGATTTCTTGCAATACACAACACACAAATTATCCACGCAGCCGCACGCGAGAATCCCATTTTGGCGCCGTCGCATAAAAACATTCGGCCTCTTACTGCAACTGCCAATATTCTGTTTCCAATCCAGTACTACTGTTATCTGTGTTAGAACTTATCTCTTCTGATCAATGCTTAGCACCAATGGGTAATTTAACGAGGATTCTGTCACTTGGGGTTAACGTGGGATTGGGGGAGCTATGTATCAACCGTTTTAATTCCCTGGGAATTATATTGAACACTATGAATAAATATCACACCCTCCCTATATTGACAGATGATACCATATAGCTTTCTGGGGTTTAACTCACATTATATGGTGGACGAAATCACGAAGTCTGTCACCCACCAGATTTTTCACTGCGGCATAGACACGGGAACGATTCGCATCCACCGCGGCAAGCGACTACAGCACTGGATTGACTGGCCGCCAGTGCTGCCAGATGGAGAAGGCTGTAATCCTCCAGATCAGTTACAAAAATCCTCCAGATTCCTCCAAATCCCATTGGCGGATCCAGATAGGCGGTCTTGGACGCTGCGGGAGGGCATATCTCCGAAAAGGTTTCTCCAAATTCTAAAAACTCATCGGATTTCGATTCCTTTCGCACTGCTGTGTAGTTTAAAAGATGCTTTTTTATAATAAAAGTTGTTTAGTTTTCGTTTTATCCTTGAAAAAAAAAACGAAAATTTTCTTCGATTTTGGACGCTGCAGGAGGGGGGGGGGGGGAATTTGCGCCAAATATCCCCCTTTGATCCGCCAGTAGTTCGGTACCTTCAAAAACATATGGTACAATCGTACACGAAATAGGAACAAATAGTCACCATGATATTCGTGGATATAGCTACAGACTGAGACATTCCAGTCTCACGGCAGTGGCGGCGGAATAGGGGGTGCGGGGGGTGCAGCTGCACCCCCATCGAAAAACATGGGGGTGCAAACATATCTTTTTGCACCCCCAAAATCCGTACAAGGGGCCCGTCGCACCATCCAATACATTTTCTCCTGAAAACCAGAAAAAACGAACACTGATATCCGGGATGTCCAATTATGGCCAGGAGTGCCCCATGCTAGTCTTTGGGACCCCACACCGGCTAGAAGTGTCCCAAGCCGCGTTTGGTGCTCCATGCGGCATCTGAGGGCCCCCACGACGGCCTCAGAGGGCCATTTTATGACGATCTCTGAGGGCTCCCACGACGACCTGTCCCTTGGGGCCCTACAACGGCCACTAAGGGCCCTTATGACGACCGCTGAGGGTCCCACAGAGACTCCAGGGCCCCAAGGAGACTCCAGGGGCCACGCTGGCCTCTGAGGGCCCCTATGACGGCCTCTGAGGGCCCTTACGATGATCTCTGAGGGCTCTCACGGCGACCTCTGTCCCCTGGGGCCCTATAACGACCACTAAGGGCCCTCATGACGACCGCTGAGGGTCCCACAGGACTCCAGGGGCCCGCTGGCCTTTGAGGGCCTCTACGACGGTCTCTAAGGCCCTCGTGACGGTCCTAGACCCAACTCAAGTCCGAGGGCCCATTTGGCTTCAGACGGCCCAGCGACGGCCTCTGAGGGCCCCAACACAACCAGGCTGCTGGCATCTGAGGGCCCTGCAACGGTCTATTGAGGACCCTAACGATGGCCTCTAGCGGTCTTACCAAGGCCTCTGAGAGCCCTGCAAAGGTATCTGAGGGCCCATGAAGACCCTCACTATGGCCAAGGACCCTCATACGACCTCTGATGATCCTCTCGAAGGCTTCTAAGGGCCCTCACAAACTTCTGAGGACCCCAGGACGGTCCCTGAGGGGCTGAGGGCCCTGACGACGACCTCTGTGGGCCCTCACGATGGTCTTTAGACCCAACGCAAGCTCCAAAGGCCCACGCTGGCGTCTGAGGGCCCCACGACGGCCTCTGAGGGCCTCGATGCAGGCAGGCTCTAGGGGCCATGCTGACCTCTGACTTCTGAGAGCCCTCTTGACGGCTTCTAGGGCCTAACGAAGGCTTCAAGGGCCAACGCTGGCCTCTGAAGAACCCTACGACGGCCTCGGAGGGTCTCAACTCAACGCAGGCAGGTGCCAGGTGACATGCTAGCCTCTGAGGGCCCCGCAGAGTTCAGATTCAGAGGACCCAACGACCTTTGTGGACCTTACGAAATACGAAGGTCTCTGAGAGCTCACGCAGGCTCCTGGAATTCCACACTGATTCTCAGTCCCCATGTCGGCTTGTTGAGGCACTTTATCTGCTCTTGGTGCCCCGTCGCCGGCCTCTGAGAGTCTCAATGTCGGAACTCATGGGGCTATGGGCCGGGGCCCCGTAGTAAAGTAATCTTGATGGGCCCTACACCGGCTTTTATGGTCCCTACATCGACTCTTGGGACTCATGACCCGTGAAATGTGGGTCTAAGCGGCTTCTAAGAATCCCCATGCTGGTTCTAGTAGCCGCCAGCCGAATATTTGGGCTCACACGCGAGCTCCTGGGACCCCGTGCATACTCGAGGGGTCTACCTGCCTGTAAGACCCCACGCATACTTTTGAGGCTCAAACGCTTGCCCCTGAAGGCCCCACTGAGACCCCTTTCCTCTATTCAGTTCTCCATACCGGCTCTTTAGGCTAAACATTGGCTCATGTGGCCTCCATCCCGGCTTTGGAGGGCCTCCATACAGGCTTTTTTGGGGTCCGATGCCGGTTTCTGAGAGCCCTCAAAAGACTTTCGAGCCTATACTGTCTTCTGAAACCTTTCAGCAACTTTTAAGGGACCGACCCTGATCGGAGGGCTCATTCAGTCTGGGGAGTCATGTAGGTCTCTGGAGGAGTCTCTATGTGGTCGGTTTCCAAGGGGCTTCTAAACACGGTCAATTCTTGGAACGGTCTCGTAGGGCCCTCAATGGTCCACTGCGGATCCAGAAAAGTGGTTTGAGACGCTGCGGGTGGTGGGTAGACTAAAAGATTAGCCGATAAAAACTAGCTGCATTTGCTTCTTTATGCTTTCATTATTTGAGATAGGTAGGTACACTGCAATTTCAAACATTTTGCAGAACTTGTGTGTATGGGGATAGTTTTCCAAAATCTTCGTTTTCCATAATTCAATAATAATCACTAAAAAAATGAAGGGGGGCCCAAACTTCCAGAGGGGCCCCTCGAGAAAACTTTGCACCCCCATCCAAAATTACCTTCCGCCGCCACTGTCTCACGGTGATAAAGGGCAGTGATATATCCTAACGGGTAGGGTGAAGCTGGGCAGGAAAATGTCTTTTGAGTCTTGAACGCGTTGTATTTTTCCATGAAATTGAATATATTAATCGGGTGACAAATCCTCCAGATTTTCCTCCAGAATCAAAAATCCTCCAAACGCGAAATTTGTCCGCAAATAGAGTTCAAAATCCTCCAGATTTGCGGAAATCCTCCAAATCTGGCAGCACTGCTGGCCGCGCGCTGCTCATATATACCTACACAGAACAGCCTGACCTCTGGTGGGCATAGCCAGCAGATCCGGTGTTTATATTGACCGGTGTCGCTGCCGCTTCCACATATACCACAAGTCAGTAATAGGTAGGTATAGGTACTCGTATTACGGTAGCTATAGCTGTGAGTTGTGACCGTTTATAATTGAGCAAGCAATAAATAAGTTTTCATTATCCCGCACCGAAGACAGTGTTTACAATTGCTTCACGTGCAAAGAGAGAAAATTAACAGATGTCGTTTAACTGATTTGTTAAACGTCTAGTGACGATTAACAAATTGTTAAACGTCTAGTAGACATTTCTTCAATTTTACTGTCTCGTTATTTTCACCAGTATGCGCGGGGAAACGCAATGAAACATCATTTTCTTTTTCTTTTTTATTTGTTTTTTGCGACTTGAGCTTCAATGAACCTGTCAATTCCAGACCGATCACATTGTCTGGACCGTTTTTCAAAGCTTTATCTGTCTCTGCTTCTCTTCGTCTCTGGCTCTGCTGAAATATGTCATATTTTTTAATAAAATGTTTTTTTTTACCTTTAAGCGCCCGAAAGGAATCAGCGGTACGGGATAAAATTATTAAACCGCTCGTAGGTAGAAAAATCATTTAAACGTCTCGCCTATCGGCTCGACGTTCTAAAGATTTGTTCTACCTACTCGCGGTTTAATATATATTACTGGATAAAGATCAATGATGTGCATACGCGAAAGCGAACAGGTAGCACCCTCGCCAAGGCAGCGTATTGATGCAGCGACAGCTTAGCTCAGGCCTCAGGCTTATGTCAAAACAAAAATAAATTCTCAGAGGTCCGCGCCATTCTGGGAGATGTTCATCTCCGTGTGTTTTTCGAAAGGATCTCAATTATCAAGCTGTTTATACTTACCGTAGTATGCATACCTAGTATCATTAATCTTTTCTGCACATGTTGTGGAATTTCAGAATTCAGATCGAGGTCTCTCAAGGTCAGGTCACTCATCGGGTCACGTCAAATGACCTCACCTAAAAAAGTTGCAATCATTGCCATAGCTACACTGAGTGATGGATCGATTTGAACTTGCAGCCGTTGATAAGGGTAACAGCACTAGTGCATAAAATGTTTATCTGGGAATTTCGATATCGGTGACACAAAGTCAGGTCAATTAATTGCGCACTCTTCATTAGGTATGAGCCAATATGCTAAAATTCAAAGGTGTCTTTTGGACGGACATCATTCTATAAGCAGGGGCACGTACATGATTTTTAATGCAGAAGGGGCACGATCTACAAACTGTGCCCCCCCCCCCGCCGAAGGACCCCAGGCCCCAGCCGAAAAAACTTGCCCTGACCTACACGGACTTATATGGGCCTGCTGGCCCCTTAAGATGGGCCCTCCTGGTCTTTTCAATCATCATTTCAGCTCATTTTTATTTTTAGACGGTCTTTGGCGGTCTAAAGATTAGGGGGCCATTTGAGGACCATTTGAGGGGGCCGAATGACCCACCCCCTCTTCCCATTCGAATGAGGAGGGCACGGGCCCGTCACCGTGTGTCCCCTTGCCCAGCCAGCAATTTTACTCCGGGCCCAAGCAGGCTAAAGTGCGGCTTGCCCGAGATTTTAGTCGGGCTAAAGTCGGCTGGGGCTTGGGCTAAAGTCGGCGTATGACACAAAAACGCCGACTAAAGCCCATGCTCCGCCGGAGGTATGCCCGCTCTGCGTGTTCCGGACAGCCGTAGCTTAGCCCTAGTTGTGCGACGATTGGCGGTAGCCCGATGGAAGCCCGAGCAAAACCTGACTGGCGCAGAAATGCGCATGCGTGAACAGCCGATCAAGTATGGCACAACTCCGGCTTTACTCCAGTTAGCCAAAGGAGACAACCAGCTTGATCAGCCCGCGCTCCGCCCAAGTTGAGCCTGCTTTGATTGCGCGGGCGTATGTCGGGCTGAGCTGCAGCTGGCCACACTCGGGCATAGCTGCGGCATGCCCAAGCTCAGCCCAAGTAAAAAATGCATTGGTTTTGATCGAAGTGGGCAAATCCAAGCTAAGCCCAAGCTGCCCGACGTTTGCCATAGTTTTGCCCAAGCGAATTGCTGGCTGGGTGTGTGCGCCCTAGATTCTAAGCACCCTCAAACACACGGTTACAAGTAAACGTGACAAGCTGAATCGGAAAATGGCACCCGTAACTCCTCTTTATGTGTCTGAAGAACTTAGGCCATGAAAGGTATGCAATAGCATTTCGCTATGTCTTTTGATAGAGCGATAAAAACACCTAAACCGTGTCCAGCTTGACGATGCAGATCGACTGATGTGCAGCACGAGCTTTCCCGGACAGTTCATGACCTTGACCTGAGGTCACATTTTCCAGTTGAACTTTCAAGGCCAAATTGAAATTCATTCGACGCGTCTCTAAGAGAGGAATACGATGCCGGTAAACATAAGCTCATGCAAGTTTTGACTTATGGATAAAAATTATTGTAAAAAACCGTTACCACAAAAAACGTCTATTTATTCGCTCTCTGCGGCCTGAAGGCTTAAGCGTTGCCCTTGGGCCAAATCTGAGACAACTACTAAAAAAGCGTTAGGTATAGGTACAGGGCTTCCAAATGTGCTTTTTTTTGCGGCGCTGTAGGTCTATTCCTTTCCTATGCCGCTTTGTCGAAACTTGTCGAAATGGCCAAATTTGACCTTAGGTGACCTCTGGTGCTCTGACTTTTACCCTGACCTAAAAAATGACTAAAGTAATTTTGTCATTATTTTTGACGCACTCTTTCGAACACCGCGCCTACCGCGTGTCGTTAGGTGGCCCAGGAGCCGAGTTAGAACCCAGCCGGCTAAATGGGTCTCGGCCGTATCTGGTTTTACTCTGGCTAGTGGCTAGCTCCGGCACTTAGGTACTCCGCCCGAAATTAATACGGGCAAGGTCTGGAGCTCTCATGGAGCTGACACACGATCCTAGAGCTCGCCCGCACTACTTATAAGTCACCGTGACCCGCACCACAGCCGGACTTATGCCGTCATCCGTGCCGGACCTCAACCGTATTATACTTCAGTCACAGTATGAGCCAGAGCACTGAGCAGCTACCGAGACAGCAGGACCTGGCCGTACACGCTGTGGCAGGGAGCCGGACTTGGCGGTCCGAAACCATATCAACTCCAGAGCGCTACTGCAAAGAAAGACTGCTAATCGGAAAAAGCCATATCGACCTAAACCCCTCTTCCCACGGCGTTCCGTCAGTCTACACCGGCCCGCCTAATCTGGCATGTGGAAGTTCAAAACGGACTTGAGCCAAACCAGATTGCTGGCTGGGAAAAGGGGGTTCAACACCTCTCCCTCACCCCATTACGGCGTGGACATCCAGGAGCCCCAGTGGGGCACGGTTTAAAGACAAACTTTTCCGGAATTTGAGCTTCTTTAACATCCGCTTATAAAGCCGGCAGCTTCTTGGGAGATACGGCGGAGCAGTAAAAGCGGATACACTGGCATCGTCTACCTACCTATCTCAATCTTATCTCGCCCGTCGTCGCCTTGTCTCGTATTGACGTGCTTAGTGCTTACTGCTTGTGACTTAAAATTTACTTATGACGTAATATTTTTAAATTTTGGAAAGGCAGTGAACTAAAGGTTACGTATGATTTGTTTCTACCTTCCTTGAAAAGCGCGTCGGTTGGATGCGAAGAGACGAGAAACGGCGATCGATAAATTGTTACAGGTAAAATAGCTTGATAAAATAATTATTTTCAGATCTTCAGTAAGGCATGCTTGTTCTTTTTTTTTTAGTTTGGAGACAATGATCTTATCCAAACCTTTCAACCAATCAATCGGGCCGCGGGCGTGCCTGGCGACGGTGCCAGTGCCAAGTGGTGCCGGTAGCTAGGGGCCGAGTCACGCAACAAATTGCCGGTCGCCCGTTTGATCAATACAATAATTGGAGGTGGGGTGACATGTCACAAATCCCTGCTAATTGTTTTTGACAGTGATACTGTGACAGGTGCTACTACAGTAGGCTGAGATTTTTCTCTTCACTCTCAACTTCATGGGCTGAAGGAAGGTGAGCTATGATCATGATGCAATTTGCCCGTCAAAAAGAGAAAGGAAGGAAGATTGTCAGTTTGTGCAACTATTTTGTGGCAGTATATTTAGAATTAAATGTTTTCTGGAAAAGGAAGTTCTTCATACTGATTGAGGAACTGCAGACTGTGATAATGAATACTAAATTGTACCCAATATTTTAGCGTATTTATCTTGTCTGCAGCATAATTTCATTTAGGGAGTGGGGTAAGTTAGAAATTAAGCCTAAATGAAATGAGAGGAATTTCTGTTTTTATATGCTGCTGAGTACTTCGCCACATAACTGGCAATCGCCAATCATGTTGATGCTTGGAGTTTGAAGATTAATTTCATCATGTAAGGTGACAACCAATTGCAGTGTTAGATGATGATGTATTCAAGTTACCTTTCCATAATCCATATATTGCCTCGGCCATTCAGATTCTCATTTGAGTTTGCTATGCAGTATGCATGTCATGATTGGCTTGGGACTTCTGTAGGCCAGAGATAGAGCAGGCAGCAGGCACTTCACAGTTCAGTAGCTTAGCTGCTGGCTGTTTGACAAAGGCCACTTATCCGCAAGGTGATCAATAAATCAACCTGTCTTTCAACACCATTTTAAAATCCTGTTATGCTATCCAAAAACCAAAGGTTTAGGTACGTGGTTTACCATGGCAAAAGTGAGGCCTTTTTAAAAGTCATATTTTAGGGAACATCATATGGAACATATCATATGGAACATATGAGCATTCCACAGATTTCTCCATAGAAGCATAACTGACTCTGGTTACTAAAGCTACCGCTTAATAAATCCAAAATGCTGTGTCACCTGGGTGGATTCATCACCTAAGCAGATTTACTGTATTCCTTTTGTTTGTCTTAAACTAAACATGCAGAACAGTGAACCCACCTGGCCACATACTCCACAAAATAAATTACAACTATACAGCAGCCTGTAGGTAAGTAAACTGCACCATTGTGTCATATTCATTTAAAACATGTTCTATATGCATATTTTTCACTTTAAATGTTTGTATGACAAGTTAGTACCATAATTTGATACTGGGTGCTCAGTCAACATTCCTTCCACTGCTATGAATATCTTCATTGATCTTCAATCAGTTGAACTGCCCCCTAATTAAAGATGCCAGTGGAGGTCTCATTAAGCATGTGTCATGTCACAATTTTAATGTGAATTACTCCCTATTTCAGGCTCAAATGAAGGCGAGCTCATGAAGGCGAGTCGTCCGACGATCATCGAGGTGCGCGGCTCCCGGCTCGGGCTGGACGTCAAGGGCTCTCGGCCGCGCTCCCGGCCCTCCTCTGCCCAGATGTCGGAGGCCGGGCGCAGCGAGGAGCGTGCCGCGAGGTCGCGGCTCCAGTCGACCGCCGACGCCGCCCGCAAGGGGCGCACCACGCTGCTGAGCCGGCCGCGCAGCGCCGAGCGGCCGGCCGGCGGCGCCGGCTCGGTGCGCTCCGTCCGGCCGTGCTCGGCCGTGCCGCGCTCGGTGAAGACGGGCCCCAACAGCCGCCGGGCGCGCAGGCAGCCGCCGCCGGCGGGCCCCGTGCAGACGGTGGTGAAGCACGCGCCGTCGGCCGGCGGGGACAGCGGCGGCACGGCGCCGGCGCGCTCGGCGGACCCGATCAGCTGCGGCTGCTCCTCCTCCTCACTGAGCCGCTGGACGAGCAGCGCCGGCACGGGTGCGCCCCGCCGGAAGGGCGTCACATTCTCTGACACGCTGTCCACCGACACGGGACCAACGGACGGCGGCGGGGCGGCGGCCGCCGGCCCGACCCGAGCCGGCGCCGGCCGCGGGCTCCGGCTCCTCCGACACCTCACCGTCAGAGGTGGCGCGCCGGCGCGTGGCCGCCCGCCCGCTGCCGGCCGCCGCCCGCCACCGACGAGCTGACCCGCGAGCTGCTGGCGCGCGGTCAGCAGCTGCGACAGGGCATGGCGCGCCTGATTGCCCGACAGATGGACCGCTCGGGCTCGGTGACACCGCCCGACAGCGAACTGGAGGCCCGGCTGGCGCACATGGGAGTCGGCTGGGAGACGGCGCAGGTCAGACTCGGCAGTCGCGTGAGACAGGCTTCTTTGTGTGTTCGGCTGTGCTTTTAGTGCTTTTCACGCCATGAAGTCCTAAACTCAAATTTGTGATGATGGGTTACAGGTTTGCAATAAAGAGTCAATATTGTTTTTCTCTCGATCTCAGTTATTCATTTCACATTCTTACAATGTGCAACAGTCTAATCAACGGCGCGCTCAAGCTGAGTTTGTGTCTGGTTACAGCTTTGAACGTCTAGCTCTGACCCCTCGTTCGCCGTCTGTTCCGCAGAGGCCGGCCGGCCCGGCGGACCACCCGTCCGTGTCGGTGGGCTGCGGACCGGGGACCGCTGCCCGGACCAGCCTGGTCTCCCGGCCGCGCACGGCCTTCACACTGCCGTCCGAGAGCTCCACCTCTGGCGCGGCGGCGGCCACCTCCCGCAGTACCGTGCCGCCGCTCGACCTGCCCTCTTCCCTGCTGTCCGCGCCGACCGGACCGGCCCGACGGCCCGCCGCGCCACCACAGAACACCGGGCGGCCGGCGCACAGACAGACCAAGCCGGCGAATGTCGGTGAGTCAGCGCTGAATTGATACAGTTGGTGTCTAATTGAAAGAAACGTATTTGATTTAAAAAAAAGAGGCATATTAATGACAGCTTTAGCTATAGATCTGACAGTTGTTACAAGTTCCCGGAATTTTGTGAAGAGAATCATGGTATGAAAATATCTATGACTCAGCTAGCTGCTGGCTAGGAGTGATAATTCATTGGACAATCTATAAAAACATGTTATGTTGGACGACATTTTGTCTCGCGGCGATGGCCTCCTTTGCTCCGCGAACGCTGTCTGACCGCCCGGGCCGTCCCCCTTTGCCAGTGGACCGCCTGCCGCTGCTGCGCAAGGCTTCCTTCCTGCGCGTCTCTGTCGACTCGCTGTCGTTCGACCCGGTGTTCGTGCGGTCCGTGTCCTCTGCGCCGGACGCGGCCGACACGCGGGTCTACCTGGAGTACGAGCTACCGCTGGAGACGAGCGCCTCGGCCCGGCGCAGCACGCGGCTCGGAGGGAAGAAAATCGCCACAGGTGGGTGGTGGTCTGCAGCTTGTGTTTTTTTTTTTTTTTTGCAAGCTTTATTGCTTCTTGCGTAGGTAGATGAGATTAATGATGTAGCTATTTGTGTGACTTTTGCGCCGTCTGTATTATACACTCCTCGCTTAACTTCATGAAATCTGTAGTTTCCGGTGCCTTCATTTGACTAACCTCCCCCCTCCGGCAGAGACGGCGCTGAACCACCGCTCGGTGATCCCTCTGCGTCTGACGGCGGCCGGCGTGCGGCTCTGGCAGGCCTCTGAGCTGCAGCTGACCGCGCTGGGCCAGGCCGGCGGCCGCTGCTGGACGCTGGCCGTGGCCGCGCTGCCGCTGCGCCAGCTGCTGCGCCAGCCGCGGCTCGCCCTCAGCCGCCGCCTTCCGCTGACGCTGCGCGCCGCTGGACGGCCGCTGGTCGGTCATGTCGGAGTCCGGCTGGAGCTGGGATCCGATAGGGACGACTTCCCGGCGGCTCTGGCGGCTGGGGAGAAGGGCAAACGGCGCCGGAGGACGCGGAGGAAAGGACCGACCACCGGCGGAGGGTCTGGATCTGATGAGGACGGCCTTGAGGACGGCCTTGAGGACGAACTACAGGACGATCAGGACGATCAGAGCAGTGAGGACGAGGAGCGGGAGACGGAGAGCGGGCCCGTCTCCCAGGAGGAGGACCGCAGGGTGCGGACCGAGCCGTGCCTGACGTCGGACGCCGAGAGGGAGCCGGCAGAGGTGCCGCCGCCAACGTCCGAACGCAGCGCCGCCGCCGACGCCAGCTCCAAGGTGAGTTCCGCACGGGGACGGTCACTGGAACGCGAAATCTATCTGTAATAATCGGTAATCAAGTAGAATAATCGGTATATTTTGACTTTGTGCCTTACCAATGTTTATGTCTAATGCCTTATGATACACTGTGAGACCTTATTTTCACACTTCCCCACGAGTCATACACTCTATGGAGCATATAACGCGGTATTGACTCAGCTTTGTGTCTGACCCGCTCTCCTCTCCCAGGTGCGCCTGGTGCACTGGGCTGTACGAGTGGGACGCGGTACGCCGGCCCAGCCCGGCGCCCTCCGTAACACCTACTTGGTCGTGCGCGCGCCGTGGCTGCAGCGGGCGGCCACTTCCGTCACCTGCTGGGGCGAGGAGGAGCCCAACTATGACTACACGCTGGTGAGGAACCGTGGAGGGGAGTGGGAGCTGGCCTGGGAAGGTGATAGGTGACTAGCAAACCCGGTGCCGTGGTGGTCAGGTAAACACTGGGTGTGCGTTTATTTGCAACTAGATCGACGTCAGAAATGTCAAGCGTTAGATTGTTTGACTAACAGCGTAACAAATGATGCCATTGACATAACATTTCGTAATTATATCATTCCATAGTTCGTTTTATTCCTGCGAACTATGACTAGTGCAAGCGGAACCACATGTGTTTCCATTTGCCTCCGACTAACTACACATGGCCTCACGGCGTTGACGGCACTGACTGCTCCGTCTGTGGCAGATCTCTCCGGTGCTGCTGACAGCGCCTCTGGTGGCGCGTCTGCACAACAATCTGCTGGTGGTGGAGGTCTGGCAGCGCTCACAGGCGCCCGGCCAGGACCGGCTGGTGGGGCTCAGCCGGCTGCCGCTGGAGAGACTCTACCTGACCTTCAGCCAGCCGGACGTCACGGACACCGTGCTGCAGATGAAGGTGGGCCGGCGGGAGGTGGTGTGGGAGAGCGTGGTGCCGAGTGAAGGGGAAGATCGTTTTCAAATTCTGGTATTGAGCTGATCAAGCATTTCCGAGAACGATGAAAAGTCGTCATACTGCTGGCACTCACTGGATCTATGATTTATCGACATCTTACATTCCATGGGCTGCACAGTGTTGTTACCAAGTCTGCCCTTAAGCTGTCCGCGCCCACACCCCGGTCGTCACGTCTGTACCTACTAATACCTAGGTACCTAATATCTTATGTCCCCTGGTGCGCTCCGTCAGTCTCCTGTGCTGGTGCACGAGGGCCGCGTGTCGGTCACGAACCCGGACTCGAGTCCGGCGCAGCTGGAGCTGACACTGGCGGCCGGCACGCAGCAGCAGGTGGACGCCTGGATGGCGCCGCAGAGACGACGGAGCAGAGCACACCAGGTGAGAGTCTCAGAGAGGCTGCAGTGGATTAGAGTTGTAACACAGCACCCTGAATGGTGTCACAGAAACTACGGAGCAGAGCTCACCAGGTGATAGTCGGTGAGAGACGACTTTGAGTGAGAACGGGATTAATTAAAGGGGACCCTCCCACCTTCAAAAAAGTTAATGAATTGGTATTAAAATGATGTCGCTCGGTTCAGAAAGAGCGAAAACGAATGTCTACCAAATTTCATCGGAAAATATTCACCGGTTTTCAGGATATTAGACTTTTACTTTTGTTTGCCTTTTGGTATCTCCGCTGTTCCTAGCGACTTTATTTGAAAGTGCAGCACTTGTTGCGCGCAAAGCAGCATATACCACCGCGTGCTACCAAACGTTTTAGTAAAAGATTTAAAAATCGTTAGATCTCCGCTGACGTCGCAAATTCTAAGGGGGCATTCCAATGCATTAGCCCCTTAGAATCCGAAAACTGCAAGTTTGACATTCCATATCTCCGAATTAAAGCATTTTTCGATGTTGTGAGTGCCCAAACCGGTATTTGCAGGCCATGAACATTAATTTGGCTATCTCAACTCAAAACTAATGCTAAGGTGGGATGGTCACTTTAATGACAGCGAATGCTAGACGGGGCGAAGAATAGCCAATTCGGACGTCGTAGTTCTTTTTACATTGATGGCTTGAAACATCTTCAATGATTTCCGTTTTGATATCATCCTCATCAAGTCTCCTTCGGCAGACACTAACTAGCTGCCATGATCCCGCGTCTCACCTTCTCCTCCGTCTGTCTCAGGAGTCGTCGGCGCCGCGCAGCAGCGACTGCACCATGAAACTCACCCTGGGACGGCTGCTGCACGTGCCCGAAATCAACGAGGCCAAGAGTGGCGAGGTGGACTGTTTTGTGCAGTACACGTGGCCCGTACAGGACGGTGAGTGGATATGGGGACACGGGAGAGGGGTGGGCGAGGGTAGTGGTCTCTGTGAGAAGTAGACGGTTGTTTAAATCATGGCGCTATTAAAGCTTTAGTTTTAAATTCATCGCTCGCGATTTGCCAGCAAGATTACAATGAATTTATTCGGTCTGAACTTTATTAACTAAAGAGCTGAATTTTCTGAGAACTTATAAGAATAGCGATGATAGTTTTTATTACAAATAGCGATTGATCATACCGTGTAGCGCCAGCCGCCAATTCTCCTCCGGTCTGTTTCCGTCAGACTCTGGTGAGCTGCGTCTGCGCAGCTTCACCACCGAGCCCGCCATCAGCCGGGTGAACCCGCCGCTGGCTCACACCGCCACACACCGGTACCGGGCGCCGGCCAGCAGCCACCTGGCCGACGCGTTTGTGGCGGCCTGCGCGCCCGACGCCGGCGCGCGCTGGGACGTGGTGGTGCGCACCTTCTACCCAGCCGTCCGCGACACAGTCATCGCCAGGGTAAGTGGAACGGGTCATTGCAGTGGGATGGGCTATTGTCTTGGGATAAAGGTAGACCTTGCCAGTATGTTCAGTGGGAAATCAGTCTAGCTGGTCGCTTGTCGAGTCATTTATGGTCAGTGTTCAAAGCCGCCACATCAGGCTCAAGCAGGCTAGCGATGTGGGAAAGCTCAGTTGGTGTTGCCGCCCATGTGATATTTTTTATGACACGTCTGCCTTGTCGCAGTCTCATGCCCGGTACTGAACCCTTCCCTCTCCGTCCGTCAGGGTGTGCTGAGCTCGTCTCAGATATTCGGCCTGGTGGAGGCGTGTCGTGAGGACGGCCGCCAGAGCCGCCGGTTCGCCGTGCCGCTGCAACTGCTGTCGGGCGGCGAGGACCCGGCCCACCCCTCCCTGGAGGTCTCCCTGACCGTGGAGACGGCGCCGTCCGCCCCCGGCAGCCGCACAGAGCTCACCACCACCTCCAGCAGCGGGGAGACCGACACCACCGTCCGACCCACCAATCAGCTGCCCACCTGGACCGACGTCATCGCCGGGCGGACCAATCAGGCGCGCGGAGCGGCCGGGCCGCGGACGGCCGACCTGCCGCGGGTCGGGGCGGCTGAGGGGAGGTTCGAACCGGACCCGGCTAGTGAGGCCGAGCTGCTGAGGCCGGTCCGGGAGGTTCCGGTCACCCGGCGCCACACCTGGGTCTGTGGCGAGACGGCGGGGGAGGGAGGGTGGGCGGCGCGGCCCGGCCGCTCCCCGGTCCGTGTCACCCGTGAGGAGGGCAGTCAGACGGACCTCGACTCGCAGCCGGCCGTCTCACAGGAGGCGCTCGCCGAGTCAGATGACTCTCCGCCGGTGTCTCAGGCTGGCGACCCTCGGCCGGCTGAGTCCCGCTCGGCTGACTCTCGACCGGCAGAGGAGGCGGCGGGTGGCTCGCGGCCGGACGGCGCTAGCGGCAGCTCGGAGGAGTCTGCCGGCCACCAGAGCGGCGCTGAACACTCCGACGAGGCCGACTCTCAGCCATCCTCGGAGTCGGAGATGCTCCGCCGACTGCGGCGGCCTCTAGGACCGCCCTCATCCGAACGGCCGACCGCTGAGGCTCCCGTCCCTGAGAGCCGCACTGCCACCGACCGAGCCGACATTCTGTCTGACATTGAGCGGGATCTGGAGCGACTGAGACGGACCGGGTCCATATTCAGCGGGCAGCGCCGGGCCGAGGGACCTGTGGATGATACAACTCAGACGGATGATGTGGCGGAGCCCGCGGGGAGGTGGCGGCGGCTCCAACGCGGGCCGACTGAGGCGGCGCCGGTCCCGGTGGAGCGGGGCGGCGGCGGTGACGCGGCGGCTCGCAGACGGTCGTGGGCGCCCCCAGTGGCGGCAGCGGCCGACTGCAGGTCCGAGTACGCTGACGTGCCGCTACTGGAACCGAACGCGATGTCCAAGGGACGGGAGGAGAGGGAACATCAGGTGCTGCACGTCAGGACTGAAACCGGGGTCGGGGCGGAACGGGCTCAGATTCGGTCGTCTCCTGGCGGGAATGGAATGAGGGGGAGTGCGGCAGTTCCGTCCTCCGAATCAGTCACACCAGCCACAAGAACAGCGTCTTCAATGGAGAACGCGCCGACGTCAAACGGCCGAACCATCCCCGCCTCTCAGCCCGCACCGCTGGCACCCTCACGCGGCGGCCATTCATCCTCGTCCGCCGCTGCGCCCGCCCGCGCTACCTCGTCTGCCAGTCACCCGGGCAGCAGCGCTGACTCGTGGGTGAGCGCGGTGACCCCTGCCACCCGACCGGCCTCCTCTCTGGCCGGCCCGGTGTCCCCCGGCTCTGTGCCTCCGTCAGTGACTGAGGCCCCGCGGGCGCCGGCGGCCGGCGGGGACGCGGACGGCGAGGGGGCGTTCCGCGCCCAGCTTACGGTGGTCGAGGCTCTCCACCTGCCGCGGATCGTGCGCGGTGAGAAGCGCGAGCAGCCGCGTGTGCTGGTGAGCGTGCAGACGGCGGCGGGCGTGGTGGCGTCGCCGCTGCAGACGGGCACCCGGCCCCGCTGGAACTGGAGTCAGACGGTGTGGATCGGCCGGGAGCTGCTGCAGCAGGTGAGACCACCGGCGCCGGCTCCAGTCAGCTGGTGTAAGATGATTTTAAAGACTACCTACCTCATCTTGCCTCGTCGATCTTCTGGATTTGGATTGGTTTATGATGATGTTCATAGCGTCAAACGTAGCGACAATTTCAGATTTTGAGCTGATCTGCTAGTTAAATGCAATTACAGGGTGTTGCAGGTAAATTGGGAATTTTCAGACCTAAGTTCAGCATGCTATTAATACGGTGAATGAAAACACAGAAAGTTGAAACTTCGCACGTGTATTGTGTCATGTACGCACAGCCTTGTCACTCGATGTGACCGCCGTCGGCGTCCCGCACCCTCTCGAGACGGCGCCGGAAAGCGGAGCACGCGCGCCGGGCCTCGTCCTGGTCAATGGTGCTGACTGCCTTCCTGATGGCCTTCTTCAGGTCAGAAACGTTGGCAGGAGTGGTCGAGTTGGACTTTTGTTCTACCACGCCCCACATCCAAAAGTCACATGGATTCAAGTCAAGCGAGTTGGAGGGCCATATGTCCTTGGGTACATATAGGGGGATCCTCTGGCTCAGGAAATCTTGCACCCTCTGGGAAGCATGTGCTGGGGCGGAGTCTTGCACCAGCATGACTTTGCTCAAGCCATAGTATTTCATCATCCAGGGGATGAGAGACTCCTTCAGGATGGTCAAATACGCGTCAGTGTCGATCGTCACACCAGCAGGCATGAAATGGGGCGGCATTATGCGGCAATCAGTTGCGACGGCCCCGAACACCATTGCTGATGCCGGATTTTTGCCTTCCATCATGGGAGCCACTTCATCAGGGCTGTAGGCGATAGCCCGCGAGTTCCTGCGGTTGGCGACCTCTTCTACGATGAACTTTTTCTCATCGACAAATACTCTGACGTCACTCCCGAGGTGCTTGAGGAGATTGAGGACCTTCGGTGCCCTCTCCCTTCGTATCGCTCTTGCTGGTTCGGTCAGGAGGCTTCGTCGTTTTCTGGTAAACGACTTCATCCCGAGGTCCTCTCTCACGGCTCTGCTGATGGTGCTCTTGCTCACGTGACGGGCACGCGCAAGCTTGTTCATCGAGGTCCTCGGTTTGGCCTGTATCGAGCGTTTCAAGCCGCTCAAGAATGTCGGTGTCCGTTTTCGGTCACTGCGAGGTGTGTGAGAACGTCGAGCGACATCCCCTCCAGCTCCTACAGTCGCGATAGTTCGGTACACGGTAGACTTTGGGTACCCAGTTAAACTTATTATGTCCTTCGCGCTCTGTCCGGCGCGAACTAACTCACCAATCGTTTCCCTCCGACGCTGCTCCATGACTGCGCGATATGTTAGGATTAAAATTTCAATATCAAATGAAAAACAATTGTTGAAATTATATTGTGTCAAATTTCCATGATGTTCCTCCGCATACCAAATTTTTTGTAAGGTCATGAACTTAGTCCCAATTTATCTGCAACACCCTGTATATCGACTCTGTCTGATGGTTCGACATCTAGTACCGAGTGCTCGACTCGCTCTGACCTGAGCTGTCCTCTCACTCTCGCCGCAGGAGTTTCACTACCTGGTGCTGAAGGTATGGCACCGCAGCGGCTCGGGCCGGGACCGGGTGCTGGGCCTGGTGCTGATCGACCTCGTACCGCTGCTGCACGGACTGAACGAACTGCTGGGCTGGTACAACATCGTCGACCTGGCCGGCGTCTGCCGCGGACAGATGAAGGTAGGGGACGGGTGTGGGCTAGGGGGAGGTGCCCCGGGGAACCAGTGGTGCGGCTCGACGACAGGGGCGTGGCATGTGGAGACAGATAACGTGTCAGACGCGGCAGGGTATCGCAAGGCGTTTTGATAGGCCAGCTTTGCCCTTTGATGTACAAGCATGGACTATCGGTGATTATTTACTCGTCGATTCAATGTCTGATGAACGTCTGATACACCTTTCCAAAGCTAATTAAGTCAAACCGCTAGGCACCGACGTGGGCTGTTTATAGATCAGGACTGTTCCACGTTTTCCCACAACATAAATATTGATGTGGCCTATGGACGTTTTAATAGCCGATGTAGGCCGAAAATATAATCCTTATCGATGTGCTATTGCTACACTTTCGTATAAATATCTCCCTTGCGACCATTCTTCTGATCAGAAGCCCTCACCGCTTCGGCTCACGTCCCCCATATATTCTCACTCATGGCCTGTGCTGAATGGGACCTCGAATATCGGCGTTTGAAGGGTGCTGCTGGGTCCCTTTGACCGGCTGTGGTGCCGGAGACGGACGGGCTGAGTCGACACTGAGTGCGGTCCCCGGGGATCACTTAAGGCGGCAGTGTATGGCGCAGCACTGGTCAGGGCTGAGGTCGTGATCGGGACAATGCTGACTGCTGGCTGTGTGGGTGACGGACCGGGAACGTGACTGTGACTGGCAATGGGTGTTCGATACTTTGGGCTTTGAAATCAGTCTTGGTTGATAAGATTTGGTGCTGTCATTTCATAAAAATTGTATCCCGGTGTTTTCAGTCATCGTCATTGTTGCTTTGTGTCATAGCGAACGTTTTTCAAAGCGCAGAAATGATTCATGATATTTAATTAACTGACGATACTGCATGGTGAATTGAAGCAAATGGTTTTAGTGGATGTTCAACAAATGCATTGTGTTCAGCTTCGTTTCAGCCATTGTCCTGTCTTCACGCGTATATCCCCGATCCCAGCTGTGGGTTACAGAACACACGGACTGACCGCTCACCCGTGTCCGTCCGTTTCAGCTGAGTCTCCGGCCCCTGGACGACGTCCCCTGTGTGGAGCGGGAGAGTCTCGACCTGTCCGTATCCCTGGACGATCCTGACCGCGCCTCGTACGTAACCACGTCCTGCCACTCCTCGTTCCCCTCCCATCTGACCCGCTACCCCGAGCTGGCCATCCGGGCCGTCAACAGGGCACACCACACGCGGTACGTTTTGTGTGGGCGGTGGGAACAAAGGGACGGGCGACGGGGATCGTAGGAGGGTCGTGCTAATAAGCAATGGAACTGTGATCATCTCATCCAGTTGCCAGCTTTCGTCATGAGTCGAGTTGCCGTAACTTTGGTGTAATATTTTAACAGAAGTGCACATGTGAGACATGTTTTCTGACCGTTGTAGTGTATCGCTTTGATGTATTATTTTCTTCCATTCCTTACCCTTTCCTCCGTTGATCACGCGGTCCCTCGTTACTCCAGGGACTCGCCTCTGGACATGTCCCCGGGCCGCGACAGGCTCGGCCCGGGTCCGTCCGGTCACGGCTCTGGCGCTGAGCCCGTGTCGGACGGGGCGCGGCCGGGGGGAGCCGCGGACCCGCTATCGGACCAGCTGCTGGACCAGCTGCTGCCCTCGGTGGACGAGTGTCAGCTGATGGACGGCACGAGATCCTTCCTGGTCTCAGTTCTCAGGTGAGGGGCAAAATCAGGGTGCCAAGGTGCATAATGCATATCATCGGTATCGCTTTTGTAGTAGTATGGTTGGCTGTTGATATGAGGTGCTCTGCCACTTATGAAACAATTAGATCACGTATCAAACCAGCCCGGGTTTGAATGCGAAACAAGCATTTGCGGATTATATGTCCTCCGAGCTCACTAATGGACGTTGTTCGCTCCCCTTCGCCTGACGTCTGCGCCGTGGTTTTCAGGAAGAACCTGGATGACCTGGACTCGCTGAGGGCGGGTCTGCTGAGCCGCGTGGAGCCCGACTGGACCAGTCTGCTGCCGACTCTCACGAACCGCTCCGTCCCGCCCGGCCCCGCCTCAGCCGACCGCTCCGGATGCAGCTCGCGCGCCGGTCAGGTGAGGTCGCGCTCACCCCACACCGCCTCCGGTCAGGGTCGCGCCAGGAGAGCCTCCGAGCCGGAGTCTCAGAGCCGTGTCGACTCGCGGACTTACACCTCACTGACGAACGGAGACCGCTGGGACTCGGGCTCGGCAGGGACATCTGTCGGCGGTACGGAGAACCGTCAGTTGGGGGACGGTCCGGCGCGACTGCAGCGCCGCGGCGATCCGACCGATAGCTTTGTGTACGTGCGGGCTATGAATGATGTCTCCTCGGGTAACCACGCCAGTGAGGTGTTCTGCCACCGACGGGAGGTGCGTGGCGGGCCGACCGAGGGCTCCCAGGTCTCCTCCGCCCCCGTGGGCCGCGTGTTCAGCGAGCAGGAGACCGCCGAGCTGCGGCGCCGCGGCTCCGGCGCCTCGGGCACCAGCGGGGGTGGAGAGCTGCCCTCCTCTGTCGTGGAGCTGATTGAGACGGCCGTGCGCCGCAGCGCCGAGGTGCCCGACCCGCCGGCGGCCGCTTCTAGTGACTCTGACTCTCTGCCGTTCGGCGACAACCTCCGCTCTCTGAACGACACGAGTGAGTCGGAGCGGGGCGGCGCGTCGGCCCCGTCCCAGGCCGAGCTGTTTCTCAGTATCCTGCAGGAGATGGAGGCGCGGGACGGCGGCGGGGGACCGCGAGCCGGGACGGCCGCCCGACGAGGCCGCTGTGGCGCTGGGAGCTATCCTGGCGCGGGACATGGGCCGGCTGACGGCGGCGGTGGGGAGGCCGGGGGACGGCGGGGATTATAGTTCTCCCCTGGAGCCGCCCGCGGGGCACCGGACGGAGACCTCCCCTGTACCACTGGACCCCGGTCACAGCCGGGACACGGGCAGTGGCCGGCCGGCCGAGCCGCCGGCGCCGGGGGGCGCGGGACGCTGCGAGCGGCCGCCGCAGCTGCTCTCCTGGAGGGAGGATATTGCCGGGGACGGGAGACGCTCGGCACGGAGACGCCGGCTGGCCGCCGCGCTCGACATGCGGTGAGAGCAGTCAGCGAGGCGGATCGGAGATGTGCACAGACGGCGGCCGGGCATGTGGTTTCCGTGAGTGCTAGGCGTGTGTATTCAGTATTGGCAGTGAAAGTCTAAATGGCCTGAGTGTGGGTTGTTGCTCGTTAGGGTAGTTGGTTTGAGACGTGTCTGTTATGCTAGTGGTCTGTTGTTCTTTACGGTAGGATCGGTAATTAGCTGACCTACGGGAGACGGCATTACCAACTCATGTGTACCTCATAGGAACTAGATGTGCTGAGAAGACGTTGGGCTGATAATATTATCAAGTAAATCTCGTCAGCACTGTGTGTTTGACAGCGTGGCTTGAGCGTGGTCACAGCGGTTTGTCGCTGTTACGTGTCCGAATTTTATAACGCTTCAATAACAGGTACGCGTGAAATCGCATGTATTCGTAACATTCACTGCCAACTGTCCAAAGAGTGTGTTTTTAAACGGCGTGGGTATTGCACAAACATGTTGACGCTGTCAAATGGCAAAACAAATGGTGTTAGAGTTATTGCAATAGGGTAGGTTATTTCTGTCATACCGTTTGTTCAGTTGTGTTTGTCCATTTTCATGTTGTATGGTAATAAACATCGCATCTTAACCTCAAGCTGCCGAGTTTAATTATCGGGCTGTACGGCTATGACGTCGTTTGCTTAGTCTGGTTACTGAATGTATGGTTTTGTTGAAGTGTGTTAATTGCCAAATGAAACGAATGTGAGATGCAGTGTACAACATAGTTGCTAAAGGCGAATAAGTTAGCCGTTAGGCAATCAATGTCTTTTTTTGGCAGTGTTTCAAGCGTCGCCAGTTGATACGAAGCTAGATAGGTTTTATTAGCTGGATCTTTTCATTATTCACTTGCATCTCTATGAAGGGGTGCTCTTGTTGGTCCAGTCCCCCCCCCCCCCTCCCATAAAAGACATTTCTGCTCGATTCTTCACGCCGCTGCGCTGATCTTTCACTTGTGTACATAGCAGATTACAATCTCAGCAAATCTCTTATCTGCAATTTGACTCCCGAACTGCTTAGATGAGCTGCATATGATTTGCTTTATATCCTTCCCGGCGTCTCAGAGCTCTGAAGGACAATGCTCCGACTGAATCGTCTGTGGCTCATTGGTCGTTTTGCTGCGCGGCCGCCTCGAAATGATCCGTTCCATTAGTGCCACGCGCCGTCCCGTCCCGGCCCGGCGGAACTCGGGGTGCCCCTGAGTGGCCGGTCAATGACGCAGCTGCGCGGGATCTGGTCCGACGGGCTCCTCATGGTCCCAGGGCAGAGGGTCGTTGAATGGAGCTTAGCTAGTGCGCGTGTTCTTGCCGGTGCAGTGGGGGGGGGGGAGTACGTGTGGTATGAACGTCATAAGAGTTGGAGGGGGCACTGGAGACATTGCTTTGTCGGTAATATTGTGATAAAAATTTCGAATCGTGGTATCTATGTAGTGCCCACCTGTCTTCTGTTGCGTTTACAAGGAGAATGACAGCGAGGCGGAATTCTGCAACAGCAATACCTCATTAATGGCTCTGGGGATCGATCTATTCAATGAAAGGCTCCAGATTCACTGGAGGGCCTGCGTTTCCCGGTCATTGAATAATTCCGGAGGAATAATGAGAGGTCATCAGTGTCGCTTTTCCTGAATAATGGTCTCAGTCAAACATCATTTCTGAATTCAGTCGCTGCAGCAGCTCACGCGGCGTGTAAGAATGAATGGGCTCCGTAATAAGTGCAGAGTCGCTGCTCCCGCCTCCGCGAGTGCCATTTTACATTGAACGGTGGCGAACGGACGCGGCGTGGCAAAATGTAACTGCAATGACAGCCAAACATGCGGTACAATTGTAATAGGGAGCGGGCAACGTGTTAGGTTTTGCTATCACCCTTCTCACGTGCAACGTTGTTTCGTCTCCTCGTTTTTTTTTTTAGATGTTGATTTATCCTGGAAGTGGCTCAAGTTTGGTCGGTTTTCCCTGCTGGTCATTGAACTTACGCCTATCGTTTTTCATTCTTGCTTTTTTTATTTCATTCTCCTTTCTTCCTTCTTCGTATCCCTGCTTTTCTTCCCTTCCATTTCCAATGCCCTTCCAGCGCTGGTCTACTCTCGGTGTTATTGATACTGTCTCTAACATTCTTCTAAAATGATGCCGCACGAACAGGAATGTATCAAGTCAAATGCTTTAGCGTCGCCAAATCCTGAGCTGCCCCATTGATTGCTGCGGCCGCGCTGTCGGGCCGGGTCAGGCCGGAATTTTGCCCGCCGCCGTCCAACGCCCGGCTCCGGCGGCGGCCATCAAGAATTTAATTAAAAATCCGCCCTGTCGTAAAGCTCTTTCGCCGCAGCCGGTGTCGGAAAAACAGCGCCGCGCGTGCCAGACGGTCGCGCAGAGGAGCAGGGGTCGTCAGTCGTCACCTCCGCTTTCTTAGGTGACTCGTGTGGGACTGGACAGATCTCATTTGGTGCCAGAGAAACTGGGCACCCGGAGGTGCCAGCCGTGACGACTAGCACTCCAAGGTGGTGCGTTTTTCGGATTTCTCATTTCATTTTTCGTTTTGTGTCGTAGACTTGCAGTCTTATTAGATTGTTAGTGTTTAACATTTTAGGCAGACACCTCCAAGGCCTTCGTCAGCCGCCATGACTCGAATTTTGTCCGTGGTTGAACTGATCAACTGACTGCTCTGTGACGAACGGATGGACGGGCCAGTTCACAGCTTTGACGCTGGGTTGCGGATCAGGTGTCAGCTCTGTGACGCCTGGGTTACGGGTCAGGTGACGGCTCTGCGACGGCTGGGTTACGGGCAGGTGACGGTTTATTGACGGCTGGGTTACGGGCAGGTGACGGCTCGGACGGCAGGACTGTTGACGGGTCATGGATGGGAGGATTGCGTCTGGCGCCTCTGCCTCTCAAACGAGTGTTGACCTGACCTACATGTGAACGACAGGCGCGACGCGCTACAACGAGCGAACGAAGATCGTCGCGGCAGATAATTCAAAAAGACAGCCTGGAATAACACTTGGGTAGGGTGCAGGGCTTGGCTGTTCGGCATGGGTTTTCTGCATTTGAATAAAACTCAACTAATGCTTCTGATATTTTGAATATTCTGAATCACCATTCGAATGTCTTCAGTTGAAGCTCCTTCATATATTTATTCTTTAAACACAATGCTTTATGAAAATTAAGCCTCACGTACCGCCAAATATAATCAAATCCTACGAGCTCCTGCTGAGTATCTTTGTTTATATCTATTTTATTCACAACTTTAATGTGTAACCCTTAGTGCCCATTAGCCGTAGCTCGCGATATATGGGAGATCCCTGGATTGTGGAAATAGAGGAGGATTCCCTCTATTTGACTGTGCGAGAGGGCTCCGGCTGTAGGTCGTTTAAATGCTAATACGTAGACAGATGAGAGGAGCCGCTGCTAGCTGATGCGGGAGATCTCGAGTCAAGGCCCTTTGTTCCGACTCAACTATTGTTTGCTCGCTAATCGTCGATTGAAAGCATCGTTTGAACGTTTGAATTGGATTCTTGCTGAATTCAAGCGTGTATAACGTTTTCCATAGATAGAGTAAAGCGCGGTTATTTTGCTTGAGTTATTTTTTCGGATGTAACAATTGATGAGCAAACTAAATCGACTTTTATTAGGTTTCAACGATAGATAAATTAGGTAAATACGAGTTTCAAGGAAAGTAATTTGAATGATATCAGCTATTACAAGTTTTAATTGCAATGCGATGTCATATCCCTCCAGCTCACTCATCGTTATGCGAATAGGCTGTCGTGTTGACGACCTGTCGAGCCACGGACGAACAAAGCCCGCAGAAGGGCGGCGACCCGGTGCGAACAGTCGGGGCATTCGCCGGTCCATTTCCCACAGGGATTGTCCCGCGATGAGCATCGGCGCAGCGGTGGAATTCACGTCGATTGGCAGGCGAGGAGCGATTCCACTCTGATTAGAAGTCACTGGCCGGGGTACGCGACGAAACACGTGTCAAGCGTGAGGACAAAAGTGGTCGAATGCTGACTGAGTCTTGATAGACTGCACCGCAGTACAACCGAGTGCCGTGCTGTAATGTGGAATAAAGGCTGTGCCGCAGTGCAGATAAACGTTTTACGGAGATAAAGTCCGTGAAATAGGTTTTGCCGCAATGAAGATAATCCAGCGCCGTGAGATAGACTGTGCCGCAATACTGATAAACGCCGTGAGATAGACTGTGCCGCAGTACAGCTTAGCGTCGGTAGAAACTGTGCCGCAATACAGCCGAGCGCCGTAAGACAGATTGTACCGCAGTACATCTAAACGCCGTGAGACAGACTGTGCCGCAGTACAGGCTAGCGCCAGGAGATAGACTGTGCCGCAGTACAGCCGAACGCCGTGAGATAAACTGTGCTGCAGTACAGCTAAGCGCCGTTAGATAGACTGTGCCGCAGTACAGCCGAGCGCCGTGAGATAGACTGTGCCGCAATACAGCTAAACGCCGTGAAATAGACTGTGCCGCAGTACAGCCGAGCGCCGTGAGATAGACTGTGCCGCAGTACAGCCGAACGCCATGAGATAGACTGTGCCGCAGTACAGCCGAACGCCGTGAGATAAACTGTGCTGCAGTACAGCCGAGCGCCGTAAGATAGACTGTGCCGCAGCACAGCCGAGCGCGGGGAGATGGACTGTGCCGCAGTACAGTCAAGCGCCGTAAGATAGACTGTACCGCATTACACGTCGCCCTGCTGTTAGAAATAGACGAACGGGACTGGCATTTTTTTTTGGGGGGGTGCGACAGGTATTGACGATTTAAAAGGAGCATAACTAGTTATTGTCAATGGTTTGACTGGATACTCATGTCTACGACGCTGTCGGGTAACCCTTTCAAAAACTGCATGGGATCGACACGACAAGTTGTCGAAGAAGTTCACCCTCACTGTCGGGCGAGAGCACATTGCGATTGAATGTGACATTTCACTCTCCGCGTTGTTATCGAAAAGCGCCACTGCGCTGCGGCGCGCATGCATATGAAATGTTTGCGTTACGGGGCCATTTGACAGAGGCGTGACTCGGTAACAGATCAGGGGATGGTGTCAGCTGTCGGAGCAGTTGGCAACCGCTGACACCATTCCCGTGTCATTTGACTCCACTCGCGCCAACAGGGCCAGCAGCTTCATTTCCTCTTTTTGGCTGGGCTTGGACGTAGAAGGGCAGACAAGAAAACGCGTAAATATATAAATATATTTGAGAAGGGGGATCGAGTGTTCATTCTGGAATTGTTAGCTAAGATCAAATTATTCAGGCAAATTATGTTAGTTAATCGGCTGTTGTCACGTTGGGCGGCCTTGGGTTGGTTCAGACATCGTTTGCGGTAGGTGTGCTCATTTGCATGAAAAAAACTTTGAAAATAAATACCTAAATAATTATCTGATAATTTTCACAGAACTAGAGAACCCGAACCACATGATACATACATCGTTCACTCTCAGTGCCAATTTCATGTTCACCGAATTGACACTTCACTGCTTTTGAATGATAACCATTCATTAGGATACTCTCAGCTCAGCTATGCACCAGATACATTTTGGCAATAGCCGCACCTGATCCCCAGGACACTCAGGCTTACGCTGGCGCCCAT